GCTAGTAAATGACGAATTTCCCTTGTTTATTGATGTCACACTCCTCCCTATTATCTACTCCTGATACGTATGTATGATGTGATATCAATGTAACCAGATAATTTCTTGTCTGCTCACTGCTGCCCTCTGTTGGGGGAATAGTTGCTAAATTGAATTTAACGTTGGTTATTTTGCGATACATGGTTTTGTCTCACGGTATGACCATGATAGTTGGAAGAGCGCAGACGAGTAAATGGGACATTTAATTTTAATTGAGAAATTACGGGCCTTGTGGAATGTCAGTACCAAAATAAATTGCGAGAATTTAACATGTCACGTATAGCCCAATTTCATTCAACAACTCACGAGTTGAATTACAGTCTATTTGCACGAGTAATCAGCCTGTGAAAGCATGACTGCGTAAACGTATCCATAGCTACTACGTCCAATGAAACAGTCACGTCATACTCTATAGTTAAACATTTTTCTTTATACACACATAATTCCATGACAACCCCACCCCCGCACCTCCCGTTCAGCACTTCACGTCTGGCACTTCCTGCTCCGCACTTCACGTCTAGCACTTCCCATCCCGCGCCCCGTCTTGTCACACCGTGGAATCTAGCTGGACAGCGTCCATCAGCTGCATATCGTCCTCGAGCGCGATCGCCGCTGCGTGCTCCTCGGGGATCACCAGCTCGATGTCCTCGCCGTTCCAGTCGACGATGATGTGCTGCAGGCCGGGCTTCGCCTCGCCGACGTGCTTCAGGCGCGTGCACAGCGTGCGGTAGGACGGCAGCGGGAAGTTGCGCTTGCGCAGGTACTCGTAGCCGTCGGCGCCGACCATCGCACGCATCTCGACGGAGCTGCGGATCGTCTCCGGCGACCACTTCACGCTCGTGCATCCCTGCAACGCGAGAGCGCACGGAGCGAGCGGATTACGAAACGGGTAATTATTACGTAATTATGAGTTATAATAATAATAAGATTACAAAACGAATAATCGGTTAGAAACGGATGATCGGTTAGAAACGGATAATCGGTTAGACCGAATTAGTCCATCTCTGAATCAGAATGCAAATGCAGCACGTTTCATCTTTGATAAATCTTTTTTTTCAAAAATGGATTAATTGATTGGATGAAATCACCAAACAACGCGACTGAATACCTACTTATACAGAATTATAATAGAAAAGATCTATATATAATATCTAATAAAGTACACAATCTATTATCCAAAACCCTTGGGACCAGACACATTTAGGAATTCGGAATTTTTCGGATTTCAGAGTTGTAGTTCAGTACAGATATACATACCGTATATCCTGCAACTAGCCAGTACTAAAACCCATGTTTTCAAAAGCCAAAGTGCAGTACAAGATGTATGACTAATGCTAAACACATTAATATTTCTGCAGCAAACCTTTAGCGCCAAACGCGAGCTTTGGTATGCAGATGCCCTCCACGAAAAAACTTTCGGTTTTCAGAATTTCGGATAATAGATTGTGTACTGTATATATACATATATACAGCTTTGTTAAACTTGCCTGCTGCAGCCCGAGTGCTTCCACCTGGTCAGCATTGAATATACTAGCCAGATTTTTCTGCAACATTTCCATTCTTTTCTCAAGTAATTTGTTCTGAAAGGGCAAATAGTTAATGTATGAAAAGATATACAATTCCTTTATAATACATTAGTAATTTTTAAAGTTATCTGTGTGGCTGGCTTTCTGTCTTATATATAAGAAGCCTTTCCATGATCAGGGCCGTAGCCTGCGGGGGAGGCAGCTGACCCCTAGATTTTGGAGCATAATTAAAAAAATAAATTGTTTTACTAAAAGAGAATTGTCGTAGTCAGAATGAAGGCTGTACATGTACTCAAAAGTGCCTCAAATGCCATCTCCTGCGATCTACATTTTCAAAATTTCAAAAAACCCCTCCTTTAAATCCTGCCATCTGCCTTGGGGGGGGGGGGGCTTAGGAATTTACTCAGCCTACGGCCCTGGTGATTTCAAACTGTGCTAAAACTCATCACGTAATTTCACAAGTGCACACCTTTCTCCGCCACCTTCTAATCTCGAGATCTTTTCCATTGCTGACTGTGATAGATGAACAAGGATCAGGCTCGGCTATACTGCGTGTGTCAGCATTGTCAGTGCATTCGTCTTCTCTGCTTTGGTTTTCCTTGCTTGTCGACAGTTGCTTCTTTTCATTCGGCCGAACGTAGCTGTGGTCAGTTGCTGTTAAAGTCCAGTGGACCAGTAGCCAAACAGAATAAAATTAGCATGAACACCATCGTGAGAGACAGCTTATTAACACACAAAAGCGATTCCACTGCTGATGGGAAATTTAAACTACAAGTGGATATCATTTGTCTCATAATCAATTTATTTCATTATCTATGCAAATCCTTGATTCATTTCAGAAGCATTATGTGTCAAGAGTTATGATGTATGATATATATATATATATATATAACAGACAACTTTTGACACATACTCCTGCACTATGCTTACAGCATTATGCGTCAAGAGTTATAATTATTGATATATATGTATATATATATATATATATATATATATATATATGGTCTTACGTGGGAGCCTCTGAGGAACCCCCACCGAAATACGTTTCGTGGGACTCACAAGGTAGCCGCGCGTACGGTAGAATAATACAAAACACACCCGTAGTGGGCGCCATTCCCTCACCCACAGTCAGGGGTCCATTGTAAGACAACCTTATACCTAGTATTTTACACTGTTCCAGACGGTGTTTGGTTTTTGGGAACGTTTCGGTATTTCGCGGTAATTTGGGTCATTTAGTCTTTATACCGCACAAACAGGGGGTAGGGAACAAGACACCTGTTGTGTTTCTTACGCGTATGCGTGCAACGCCGCCCAATGCTTCGTTTATTCAAAAAAATCATCCCTCCTCTCTCACAATTTGCGACATGCGGTGAGAGTCTTATGACGCTCAACCAAACGCCCCAATACAGTGTAACAGCACTGTTTGGGCAGACTTCATCGACCTTACACCACACTCTGAATGCCATGGATAATCAACAGCCGTTTCAACCTTAATTCAGGAGCGAGTACCAGATCAGCCAAAATCAGATTGCGCCCCCTCTGATTGCCGCTCCCCTTTAGGACTTGTGAACGGCGCCCCCTTTCGGCGCCTCCCCTACCACCTGGGCGCCCCTTTTTGGCGCCCCTCTTGGACGCTCTCCCCCTCTTTAGCGCCCCCCAAAACCATAGTGGGCGCCCCCTTGTTCTGTACACCTAGCGCCCTTTTAGCGCCCCTATCAACCAGTGCGCCCCCCTCAGCGGCCCTATTTTTGGTCGCCCCCTCCAAGACAGGTCCATAGGGTATCATAAGGGTAGGTGGAGAGAACACGTGTAAGAACAGTTTTTTTCATGCTGTAAATAGTTAGAAGAATCCTGACGAACGACTACCACAAGTCGAAACTAGTCGTTCATTGCTAACTTAGTGTTAGCATTTCTTAAACACAAACTTTTTTTACAAAA